AATTAGGGGAAATTCTCCTGAGTGGGGAAAGCCAGAAGAAGAAAATTTGGTACCTGGAGGCAAATTCAATTATGAGATGATGGTTTAAGGTATGATTCATCCCTTCGGTTAATTTCAGGAGACCGTAGAGAGAGGGGGGCATAGAGGAAGTGGAGAAACTAGGTATTTAGGCTGGGTTGGGATGGGGAAGAAGGCGGGTTCCAGATAATGGATTTATTGGGGGATGAGGGAGGTTGACCTGGAGCTGTGAAGATAAGAGCAACAAAGATCTGGACACGGGAACTTGAAAGGAAGAAAGATGGTTTTAGAATGATAGTGGCGGAGGAATCACCTAACAGTTGCCTTGGGGAACAAGGAATATGCTGCTTCCTCCTCCTTCTCCTGGCACTGTGTCAGAAGTTGCAGAGAGTGATTGAATAGTATACTAAGAGATGCGGCATCTTCAGGAGAAAGCTATATTTCAGGGAATATCAAAAGAAGTAAAGAATATGAGAGGAAGAACTCTAAAATGAAGGGGTCTGTGTTAACAGAGGGTATTGTGGAATGTGAGAGCAGAAGAAGATAGGAATTGGGAAAGGCTAGGGCTGAGTTTACCAAGAAGTAAGACAGAGGTGGTCACTGTACCAATGATCCTGATGGCAGGATCCTGAGGACAGGAAACATGTTGGAGATATTCCACCCTAGTGGAAAAGGGAGTCCTGAGAAAGAATCCTGGTGACTGTAGGACCTTCATGGGTAGCAGAACAGGGATTGAGCCTGAGGAGGTGGAAACACACTTCCTCCCCAAGAGGTCTACTGCTGCCCGCAACCAGATTGTACACCGAACGGAGAGGTGTGAAATAACTTGAGACATGGGCCAGGCGGAGCAGCATTACTGACTCAGTTTATTCATCTGAGGGTACAGGATATATAGAGAAAATCTAGTATAACTTCAAAGAGTCCTCCCCATGAGATACTCCCCAAAACATCTGCTGAGGACATGACAACATACATTTCCTTGTTATCAGGGTTCCTAGATTGGGTTGTATTTTCCAAGGTTTTCCCAGGCGCCTTGGCGCCACCTACATAGAGGAGTGAATGTGTAAATCTAAGTTTCAAAGAGTGAGAAGGAATGTCTCAGGAACCTCCTAATCAGGAAGGAATTGGAGAGCCTTACCACTTAATCATTGAGCCCTTTCGGGTAAAAGCCTGGGCAGAGGTCAAACTCTGCCTTGGATCTTAAACCCTTGTCAGACTCTTAAGATCGGCCCTCAACAGTCTACATCTTGGATAAAGCCTAATTCTCCCTATTTTAGTTCCTGTTCTGCTAGAGAGAGGTAATAGTGTGTAGCCAACAACACATTGAACTGGAAATCAGCTTCCCTAGATTCCATTCCTACCTCTGGTAACCTAGGTAAAGCTTCAAGACTTCTGTGGATCTCAGTGTCTTTATCTGTAAAATAAGAGAGTACTCTCCCAGGTCCCCTCCAGGTGAGAAATTATTAACCCCATTAATATCATTGCTACCATCATCTCTATCACCTTTACCTTCATCATAATTTTTCCACTTTGCTTCTTGCTGCTTTCAAAACCGTAGTAGCTTACTGCCCTAAAATACATATTTGACTTTCTCTGTATTGGCCAGAGAACAGGTGGTAGATTAGAGCATGTGTCCTCCTTTTTAATAGCAATTTTCACAGAAGCTAAATGTAATTAAAGTGCCCAATTCATTAAGTCTTGATTGTACTGAACAGTCACCAGGGGCCATGCTAATAGCTGATAGTTGAGCAAAAGAAAAACTGAAAATTCCCTTTCCTTCTTATGAAGCCACCAAGATGGTGACTGCAAAATTGGATCTGCACATTTTTGTAAAGGCTACAAATTTAGCCAGCTTTCTTTCAGTTCAATATATGTCTCTATTCTTATGAAGTATTTTTTTAAACAGAAAACCTTGGCTCTCCAAAAATGTGCTAATATTATGACAGGATTAATAATACACATTCAGACTTTTAATTTCATTCTAAATGCACCTATATTGAAAGGGACATCTGATGCCTTAATTTGTTTATTCCCACATACTCTAGTTGGACCCATGACCTCACTGATGTGGACATTTTCTCCAATGATGCAAGTCACACACAATTCATCTATCATCCTGTCTATGACCTGCCCAAAGGACCTTCCTCATCTGATCAACATGAGGGCTCTCTATCAATTATCCCTTCCTCTTTCTACATGAGTGGCCCATTTTTACTGGTTGTGTACATATCTAATGACATCTTTCATATAACCTTCCCCACATTATCTCTCATCTGAAATGTGTTGCAGCCTTCCCACAGTCACCATGTGTCTTTGTTGCTCTTTGGGTGAACCTCAGTGTTAATTCTTTAGGAACTACAGTATTCTGTGAATTGACGCCATACAACATTGCTAGAAGACTATTTGTGCCCAGATGACTGCCTGCTGTTCCTCACATAGAACATTTAATCTCCTCTCTCTGGGCTTTTACTCTGGCTATTCCACATGACTGGAATGTACTTCTTCCTCCCCTCTGCCTCTTAGAATATCTAGCATCCTTCAGAACTCAGCTCCAGTGCTATCTCTAAATGAGATGATGCTTTCTGGATCCACCCAGATGCTAAAGCCTACCCTCACCAAATAGATAACCTCATATTACTTTGTATAGATTTGGTATCTACTGGTATGTCTGCATATTTTCCCCCAAAGAACATAAGCTCCTTGAGGACAGGGATTATTTTATTTTTGTCTTTGTAGTCCCCCTAAACACAAAGCCTGGTTAAGTACAGCCTAGGAAAATGATTGATTGATTGATTGAACATAATGATTTTTGGATGGTGGAGAAATCTGGGATAATTAAAAGAAGAGCAATTTCCCACAGGTAATCCAGCCTGCTTTCCTCTTGCTGCTCAATAAATCCACAAAATAGGTTAGGCAAAGTTATGAAGGGCTTTACATGCTGAACAGAGAAGGAGTTTATATTTTATCCAGACAGTAAGAAGCTCCTGGAGTTAACTAAGGAGAGGAGTCACATGGTCACATTTATATTTAAGGGAAATTACTTTGGTAGCAGCATATAGAATGGATTGGTGTGGGGAGAGCCTTGGGGCAGAGAGACTGATTAGGAGGAGATTGTTAGAATAATCTAGGTTCAAAGTTCTGAGGGCTTGAACTAAGGTGGTGGTTATATGAATCGAGAGAAGGGTCAGATGGAAGAGTGCTAGGAAGGTAGAAATGGCAAGATTTGCCCACTGGTTGGATATTACGTGGGGTGAGGGAGAGTGAGGAATCCAGTGTACTGCCAAGGTTATGAGACTGAAAAGATGGTGGTACCTTTGACAGAAACAGGGAAGTTGGGAAGAAAGGAGGTTTGGGGGAAAAGATGTCTCGGACTAGTACAAAGAATATGAAAATGGAGAAGACTAATTTAATCCGTAGATGTTATGAATTATAAAAGTAGGCATTATAATAGTAGATGACAAAAAAGGAAAATTATAAATGTTGGAGGGGCAGGGAGAAAACAGGCACATTGATGTACTGTTGGTGGGCCTATGAATGGCTAGAACCATTCTGGAAGACAGTTTGGCATTATGCACAAAAAGTTATTAAACATTTCTTGCCATTTGACCAAGCTGTACCACTGCTGGGTCTATGTCCAAAAGGGATCAAAGAAATATGAAAAAGTTCAAAAATATTTATAGTAGCTCTTGTTGTGGTGGCAAAAAGCTAGAAACAAACAGGATAGCTATGAATGAAGGAATGGTTGAATAATTTGTGGTGTATGACTGTAATGAAATATTGTGTTATTAAAAAAAAAGGAAATAGATGTTTTCAAAGAGGTATGGAAAGACTTACATGAACTGATATAGAATAAAGTAAGCAGAAATAGAACAATTTAACTTGTAATAACAACTAGTATTTTCTTAGCATTTCAAGGTATTCAGAGTGCTTTACGAACATTTCATTTGATCCTCACAACAACCCTGAGAAGCTGGTGTTGTTATTATCCTCATCATAAGGAAACAAGCAAACAGAGGCTAAATGACTTGGCTAGGGTCAGAGACTAGATTTGAACTCAGGTCTTCCTTACTCCAAGGACAACTCTCTATTCACTGTGCCACCTACCTGCCTCCTTGCTAACATCAATGTTACAAAAAATGAACAATTTTTGAAGACTTGTATAAGCTGATGAAGAATCAGATGAGCAGAACCAGGGGAACGATTTACAACACTGTGAAGAGAAACAATTTGGAAAGTTATAAGAACTATAATCGGTACAATGACCATCCATGATTGCAAAGGACTAATGATAAAACATATTATTAACCTTAGGACAAAGACGTGAAAGACTGACAGTTCAGAATGAGACATATATTTTTATATACAGCTAATGATGGAATTTGTTTTTCTTGACTGCATATTTATTAGAAAGAATTTGTTTTTCTTTTCTTTTTTATGGGGTGGGAGTTTGGATGGAGAGATAAATTTATGCTAATTAAAAATATTCAGAAAATAGAGAGGTGGGGGCTATCGTATACATTTTCAGATGAGGTCACTGTAGTTTTTTGCTTAATTTTTTTTTTGTTTATTTATAAGACATCTCACAGAGTGAGGGGAATTTGTAAATGTTTGTAATGTAAAAAATCAATAAAACTTAAATATATATGCTATATATTGTTATTGTTGCTCTAGACAATTTTTATTACAAAAGCCTCTTTTCAAATGGCTTTAGAATTAAGTTACCAGGCACAGATAATGGAAAGAGCCTCCTCTCTTGGGAGGGAGGAGGAAGACAGTAGTGATGAGAACAGAGGAGAGAAGATGGCATAATAAGTCACGGAATAGAGAGACCCAAGAAAGACCAAACTGTAGCAGAGATTAGGGGAGAGAAAGCAGTGGGATGCCCTCCACTTGGTATATGGCCAAAGGGAAAAAGTGGAAGAACCTTAGTAAAAATGAAATGAGGCTCAAGAATTGACTGCTTTTTCTGTGTTCCTTCTTAGGATTTCTTCAGCAAGTCTGATCCATTTCTGGAGATCTTCCGCATGAATGATGACGCTACTCAACAGCTTGTACATAGGACTGAGGTGAGAAGGCGCTAGTCATTTTCACATTGTCTTTTTTTTTTTTTTTGGTGAGGCAATTGGGGTTAAGTGACTTGCCCAGGATCACACAGCTAGTCAGAGTTATGTGTCGGATTTGAATTCAGGTCCTCCTGACTCCAGGGCTGGTAATCTATCCACTGTGCCACCTAGCTTGCTCCTACATTGTCTTCTGAAAGGCAGGTTGACCAGTTAAGGCACAGGGAAACTTTCTGAGCCTACATGGATTCCACAAATGCAATTTAACTCAACAAATACTTTCTAAGTCCCAACTATGTGCCTAATATATGCCAGGTGCTCAGGATACAAAGACAGAAATGAAAACAGTCCCTGTCTATAATGAGCATCTATATTTTCCAAGTCTAGAACTCTTCACAGGCTCTTCCACTGAGCCATAGAGAAAGCACTGAATGGATATTTCTTCAGTTAGGATGAATTCAACTGAATAAGGCTTCCAGCAGTCCACCATCTGTGCATTGGCCTGGCCTTGTCTTTCTAAACCATTGAGGGGATAGCACTCTGTATGTGGGGGCCTGAATTCATGGGGTGGTGAACTGCTAATTGCCTTTGACATCTCAATAAACTGTACTTTCAGCTTTATTCTCAAGAGCGATTAGATCCAATGGCAGTGGCCCTGGATTTGGAGTCAGGGGTTCCAATCCTGCCTCGGTCACTTTTTAACTTTGCCACCCCAACCTTTTTGGAACTCATTTTCTTCATTAGTCAGATGATCAGCAAGGCACCTTCCAAGTCTAAATCAAAAATCCCACAGACTTTGTACATCAAACTAGAAATTTGATCACCCAGAATTATCTTAATTGTTTAAAATTAAATTAAATTAATTAAAATTTTAAAAAACCAATAAGATTTTGCTTGTGGGAGGAAGCCTAGGGAGTCCCTCAAATTTTCTATTTCTTAAAACATTTCTTTGACTTAGATAGTGTGATGGCCTTGGAGTTATGAAGATTTGGGCTCAAATCCTACTTCTGACTCTTCTTAGCTGGGTGACAATAGGCAAGTTTCTTGGCCTCTCTGGCCCTTAATGTCTTCAACTGCAAAATGGGAACACTAACCACTGTACTAAGCTGACAAGGTTATGATGAGGTTCAAATGAGTTAATGTAGGTGTCTAAGATTAATATATTATTATTATTATTATTATTATTATTATTATTATTATTGTTATTGGATTATACACCAAGTCAATGTTATTGAATGACTACTAATAATTACTAAGGAGTGGTACAGTCTTCTAGACAGAGTTGATGCCTTATCTCCCCAAGAGGCAAAGCTTTTGCTGACCTATTTTGGAGAATTCATTTCATTGCTGATGGTCCTGCAGAATTAGATGTTATAAGATCATAGATTTAGAGCTAAAAAAAGACCTTAAACATTATGTAATGGAACCTTCTCATTTCTTAGATAAAGAAACTAACTGAGTCTCTGTGAGGCTGAGTTTCCCAAGATCACAGTACCTAGGACTCCAAACTGGCCAGATACCAGCCATACCTCTGGAGCCCCAGCCAGATTTTCTATATTACCATCATCTTAATATAAATATAATATAAACTACCAGGTGGTTGATATTAGGAGTGGTAGTCATTAAACAATACAGGCAGTACTTTCTAGCCTGGCCCATTTCCAGGGAATTCTGCCCCTAATGATCCATTCAGTGGACAGTATAAAAGATTTACCACTTCAGCTCTTCATTAAGGGACCTGTCCCTGATGAATGTCCTTTTTGTGAGCCAGAATGATGCTTCGATTGGTTTTTATTTTGAAATGTGCAAATGTCAAGAATTTTATTTCCACCCCACTCTTTCTATTCTCAGGTTGTGATGAATAACTTAAGCCCAGCTTGGAAGTCGTTCAAAGTCTCTGTAAATTCTCTGTGCAGTGGAGACCAGGACCGTCGACTGAAGGTCAGAGATCTGTGTGTGTTAGGAAAAAAATCCCTTTCTCTAAAATTGTACCTTTCCCTTGCCTTTCCATCCTTTCTCTCTTAATTTTCAAATGAAAGTGCTGCCTGCTTGCATATACTATCTGTCCCGGGCATCTGTGCTGTATCTTCTCCTTAGCCTTGGTTAGGAAGAGTAGTTTTCTTCTGACAGAAGAAACCACAGCTGCTTTCTGGGTCATGTATGGAGAAGTGGATGTCATCTGTTGTGGCAAATTTCATCCGTGCTGAGGAAGAGAAAAAAAAGTCCATGATTTTAGGGAGTGATATAGAGAGGTATTTTCTAGGCAGTGCGCAACCTATCTATAGAAGACCCCATGGAAGTCAGGGTCAAGACCCTTGGAGATGGACTCTCTCATAGCTCCAGCCGAGATGCGCCTGAGGTCATGAGAGCAGTTGGGTGGTGGTGGTGGCTGCAGAGGATGGCCAGCTTGGTAAAGTGGGTGAATACTCATCCCGTGCCTATGCACAGTTCCTCAGCCCTTCACTGGGTACATAAGGCTCTTCTACACCTGCCCCGGGAGCGATTATAGGGCATTCTGTCCTTCTCTTGGGATGAAAATGCAGTCTGGTGAAAAAGGAGCCTCCAGGGGAGTAGGGATCATGTCATTCTTTGTATTTCTTGTCCCAGCACTTAATAGAGTGCCTATGCACCTAGTAGGTGCCTAATAAATGCTTATTGATTGATTGACAGTAGCAATAAAATGGATAAATACTGTGCTTAAAGCAAACATACAGTTCAAGTTTGAGACTATAGTATTGGAGGCCAAGGTGCAGGAGATGATGCCCTGACTCTGGAGAATATGGTTTTAAAGCCCATATCTGGTACTTACTACTCTATGACCTTAGGCAAGTCACTTCCCCCTTCATAGCCTCAGTGTCCTCATCTGTAAAATAAGGAGGTTAGACTAGATAGCGGGCACAATAGATAGAGCACTGGACCTACAGTCAGGAAGAGGAGTTCAAATCAGCCTCAGATACTTCCTAGCTATGTGGCCCTGGGCAAGCCACTTAACCTCTGTTTGCCTCAGTTTCCTCATCTGTACAATGGGAAGAAAGGCTGTTAGATGACACAGTGGATAGAGCATCAGGTCTAGAGTCAGGAAGACCTGAGTTCAAATCCTACCTCAGATAATTCCTAGCTCTGTGACCCTGGGCAAGTCACTTCACCCTGCTTGCCTCAATTTCCTCATCTGTACAATGAGCTGGAGAAGTAAATGGCAAAACCACTCCAGTATCTCTGCCAAGAAAAGCCCAGATGGGGTCACGAAGAGTCGGACGGGACTGAAACGACTGGACAGCAACACAAAATGGGGATGATAATAACAGCACCTACGTCACAGGGTCACTGAGAAGATCCAGTGAGATAGTCATTGTGAAGTGCTTTGGAGCCTGACGGACCGTAGTGAGTGCTTCCCAGTAGATGGCTGTGGCGTCTGTGGCGTCCCATGGAGCACCAGCTCCTATTCTCATCCAGGATCCCATGAAGGCATTCGCTGGCTTAAAGGGACAGAGTCTCCTGGAATATCTAACACAGGCTACGACATTGATTTAGGCCTGCAGGAGAAGAAATAACCCCAGAAGAAAGAGGATGGAATTTAGAATGTCTTTAGGAGATAAAATAAATCAAGTTGTATTTTAAAAAAAAGGTTAGAAGAGAGCTTTTATGTGATTTTGACTTTGAGATGTTTTGATGTCTGCTGGGGAAAACAGCCTAGGAAAAGGATAAATTGTTCTGTTGATTCTGCCTGCACAAAATCTCTCACAAACATTCCGGGCTTCTCTCAGGTCCCCTCCTCCGTTCATGACTGCATGGGTCCTTCTCCCTGTCTCCAAGCCAGTCGTCAGGCCCCAAATCCATAAAATAACCTCCTCACAGGCCTCCTACTTTCTGACTGTCCTTCCACCCTCCCCCTCTGTCCTACTCACTCCTGCCAGAGTATCCTACGAAGGCAGATATCACTTCTCCACTCAAAAACATTCAGGGGCTCCCTATTGACAGTGGAATAAAATGTAAAGTCCCTAACCTGACACTGAAAGGCTTGCACAATCTGTTTTCCAACATCCTTTCCAAATTTACTTCATATCACTGTCTTCATACACTCTGCTCCAGCCCAACTGAATTACCATCTGTTTCCCAAATCTGATATGACACCAGCCCTCTCGGTGCAGTCATACCAACTGTCCTTCAAGCCAGAAATGCACTGTCCCCTCCTCCAATGCAGCTGAATCTTTATCATCCTTCAAGACTCACTGTTGATCCTAGAGCGCCTTCACGGAGCCTTCCCTGATCCCTGCCCAAGCCTGCCCTAGGTGTTAGTCACCTCTCCTTCCTCAAATTACCTGGAATTATATTTATCTGCAGCTAGGTGATCCAGGAGATAGAGCACCAGACCTGGAATCAGGAATATGAGTTCAAATCCAGCTTCAGACACTTACTAGCTGTGTGACCCTGGCCAGGTCACTTAATCTGTCTGCCTCAGTTTCCTCATCTGTGAAATAGGGATAATAATAGCATCTACCTTCTAGGATTTTTTTGGAGGATAAAATGAGATCATATTTGTAAAGAGCTTTGCAAACCTTAAATGCTAATTATATAAATACCAGCTGTTGTTGCAATAGTCCAGGTAAGAAGCAATAGTGGCCTTAGCTGGGGTAGTGGCTGGGTGGAGAGAAAAGGAAACGTGCAAGAGATTTTGTAGAGGTGGAATCAACAAGACTAAATAATGTGGTATGGGAGATAAGGGAAAGTAGAAAGTCAAGGATGCCTCTGAGGTCATGGCGGTGGTATGTTTCCTGTATGATACCTTGTATCTCACTTCTTATAAACCAGTTGTTACTAACATGCTAAGACCTACTTTTGGCCACCCATATATTGTTCCATTGGACTTTGGATCACCTGTAATTTTGACTCTAGAAATTGTGGTGTTTCATGCTTCAATGGGAGAATATTGACGTTAAAAGATGGAGTTTTTTGTGTAAGGGAACAGTTGAGAATATTTGAAAACTCTTCCTACCTTCTCAGATGCAATCTAATCTGTTCTCTTCTTCCTATGAAATACTGGACCTGGTTCACTGTCTGTCTGTCATATCTATTCAAAGATAGATTTACTGATGGACCAACTCAATGGGTTGCCCCTCCAACCGTATAGCATAGACCAATCAATAGACATTCTCCATCCAGTTGCACCAAAGGTGATGGGGAAAGTCCTTGAATGGCATCTGTGTATTTCTTCCATGAGCTCCATTGGTAAAATGTGGCATGTCTCTGACAGTCAAGGAGTTGTTGATGTCTTCCTTCAAAATCCAATCTAAATCCCAATATTTAAGCCCATCCCTGCTTGCTGTGTCCTCAGCAGAGTAAAATGACTTATATATCATCCTTCCTACAAATTATTTAATGTGATTGAAGTCTGCTCTTTAAACATCTCTCCCTCTTTGTCACCATCATATACAGAAAGAATATTCAGCTGGGAATTGGGAGAACAGGGTTCAAGTCCCTGTTCTGCCACTAACTAGCTTTATGGTCTTGGATCAGTCATTTCCAATTCAATTCAGTAAACATATATTCAGCATCTACTCTGTGCCAGGCACTGTACTTCTTGATGGAGATGCAAAAAGAGGCAAAAGATATCTCTGCCCTCAAGGAGCTTACAATCTAATTTCCCCTTTCTAATCCTTTGCTTTAACAATAAGGCTGTGTTCACTTTGAAACCCAATGTTATTCTTTGGTCTATTGTATGTACTGAAAGTATAAGAAGATAAAAATGACTCAGTTAATTCAGGGCCATTTCCCCATCTGTAAAATGACAGGGTTGGATTAAATAGCTTTTATTGTCACTTCTAGCTCTAACATTATATGAAATAATGTACATAAAGCATCTTGCAAACCTTACAGTGCTATTAAACTGAGTTATTATTATTAATTATTAGTATCATTACTATGATCTGTAATCCCAGGAATCTGATACGTATCACACACACATACTCCCACCTCCCCATCCCCAAAGATTTCTCTTTTCTAGGCTAAATAAACTCAGTCCACTGACCCTTTCGTCACAGAGTTTATGGATGACCACTTGTCAGCTATGCTGCTGTAGAGATTCCTTATAATCCCCCAAATTCTATGATTATTTTCTAAGTCTTCATCATATTCTTCTCTATTCAAGGTCTCAGAAGCACTGGGTGTAGGGGAATGACAACCTCACCATTCTATTCAAAGGATACTTATTAAGTGCTCACCCTGGGCAGGATACTCTGTGAGATTCTGAGGGCACAAAGGTAGATAAGACATAGAGATTTCACTTAAAGAACTTAAAACTAGAAAGGGGGTAGGAAAGAACTACATTAACTCTTATTCCAGGCAGAATAGGATCAGTACAGAGGAGAAGTTGGGGTACTGTGCCATGAAAAACTTGAGGAAGGTGAGTGAGATCTCTTTTAGTTGCGCCTGTGGGAGGGGAAAAGGGGAGAAATGTTGGTGCCAGGAAAGAAGCAGCTAAGCCAGGCCTTGAAAGAAGGCCTTTGATTGCAGGCCCTTGTATGCTCATCCCAGAATTCTGCCTGCTTTTCTAGACCCCAATACACTGCTGATTCATTGGCAATTTATATCCTACTGGGAGATAACCGCTTCCCACCCCTCTTGGGCTTTCTCTTACCCTGCTCCGAAAAAGGCAGGAAACCTCTGAGTCATATCTGTGCATCTATTCATTTTTTCCTCGTGTAAAATGTCCGGCATGTGGAACATGGAGTTCCATCCCATTTAAACCTGCACAGATCTTCAGGGTGGTATCATCATCTCTGATTGAGATCCAACTATTCTTTTCTTTTAATGTAAATTTAATTTTGACTTCCATTGAAAAGAGGAAGGGTTTAAGAAAGGAAAATAAGATGCACACATATACAAGCAGGGAGAAAAACAGCAAAAGATTGTAAATGAATATGCTCTTCTATTATCTCCATTAC